AAAATGCCCCAGGACAAGCGGCTAAGGCCTCAGGGGCAGCAGTGAAAGCTCGACAAGCAGAAAATGCCTCGGGAGCAGCGGTGAAAGCTCGCAAAGCGGCCAAAGCGGCCAAAGCCTCGGGAGCAGCTGCTAAAGCCTCGGGAGCGGCAAAAGCGAAGCCTGCAGCTTCTGGGAACCCGGCTCCCGCCGCGAACGATCCATCGAAGTCCCCGGGCAACCCCGCGGCTGCTCAAGCCGGCGCAGCTAGTGCGAGTAGCGATGCGCCGCAAGCAATGGCTATGGGATCTACGGGGGCGGCAGCCTCGTCTGGATCCAATATCCAGACTGGAGGCGGGCCTGCCGCTCCAGGTGTCCAATACGCGGCTGGTGCATTTGCGAACGATGCCAACACCGTCTCGGCCTCGCTTAATGCTTTGGGGACGGAACAGAACCCCGAGATGATTAGATCTCTTGCGACCGTAGCCTGTATGTTCAAACCTTCTTCACCCATCTTTCCCTTCCTAGAGCTTGAGATTCTCAGCATGGAAGAGCAGGATATCTTTCAGACCCCGTCCCTGGATCTCAGAAACAGTCAGTGCTAACCTTTTTATGTAGTCACCGCCGAGAATGACGAGGATCAACGCCGAAATGTCTTGAACACTGCAGCTGGAAGCGCGGCCCAAAACGCCAACTCCATGATCGTCATGAACACGCCTACGGTTCTTAATGGACTTCAAGCTATTATGAACGATCCTACTCCGTTAACTGCACAGGCAAACCTTCGGACCATCGAAGCTGCAAGGCACGTAACGTCTCGGAATTTCTTCTGTCCCGGTGCTAACTGTCGTCGAATAGAAACCCAAACATTCTCCCCAGTATTACAAAGCTCTCGAATGCTGCGATGATGATGTCTGGCTTGCAGCCGATGGCAGTTCAGTTCCCACCTACGACTGGAGCCAGCCAACCGGCTGGAAATTGACTTGGACGATAACTGTCTTCGGGTTCTGAAAGTTGTGTTAGCGAAGATATGAAGCTGAAAAGTCCAGGTGCGATTTTTAAGTAGGTGTTGCGGAAATTCATAATCTAGCGTTGATTATGTTTTTGCAATGCAGTTTCAAATCTCCATTCTTCAAGATTACATACCAAGACATGTCTATTTCAGACACCCAGTGTCTATGCAGGGGTTGTAAGAGAGGTCCCGTAGCCCGTAACCGATTTTACGACCATGAATACCGGTAGTCAGTCCTATACGTAGGGGTTCTGTGCTCATTGCTTGAAATTTGGGTATATGTTCAAGTAGTGGCAGGGTCGAGGAGTGACATTTGTTGTTGTCGGGGGACGAATTGCAGATTTAGCGAGTGGCTTGAAATCCGAAGCTGTGGATTATTCAGGCTAATATCTGACCCGGGTAATCTTCAACGACTCCACTGTTTATCTCAACATCCAAACACCAACCCAAGAGGAAAGATGAGGAGCTGCGGGCAAGGATAAAGAGAATGGATAAATGCTGCGTTCCTGACTCTACTTAAATCGTCAAGTCGTCCATGATTTATTTTCCAAGAAACTCTATTCCACATCCCGCTGACAACCTCAAAGCTTAACATCCGAGATGGACCAGCCATTGGTCACCCACATCTTCACAGCGGATCCTTCTGCCCACAGCTTCAATGGCAGGCTCTACGTCTACCCTTCCCACGATGTCGAGACCGATATCGAAGACAACGATAATGGCGACCAGTATGCTATGAACGACTACCACGTCTTATCGATGGATGATGTTGGGACCCAAGTCCAAGATCACGGTGTCGCCTTGGCTCTGGAAGATGTCCCGTGGGCCTGCAAGCAGCTCTGGGCTCCAGATGCGGCCACCAAGAACGGCAAATACTACCTGTATTTCCCCGCGCGGGACAAGGCGGGCGTCTTTCGCATCGGCGTTGCCGTGAGCGACGTTCCGGAAGGACCGTTCAAGCCGGAAGCGAGGCCGATCGAGGGCAGCTATAGCATCGATCCCGCGAGCTTCGTGGACGATGATGGAGAGGCGTACCTGTATTTCGGTGGGATCTGGGGTGGACAGCGTAAGTATCCTTCCCCTTTCACCTCTCGAATCTAGGACATTTTTCTCAGGAGTCAGTTCTAATGTTGCTCAAGTTCAATGCTGGATCAAGGGCGAGTTCGATAAGGATGCATACACCAACATGGAAGCAACGAGCGGGCCGGCCTACTATCCCCGCGTGGCGCGTCTGAGCAAAGACATGCTTCAATTCGACGGCGGGGTCAAGGAGCTCGTCATCCTCGGGGCGGACGGCGAGCCTCTCCCCTCTTACGACCACGAGCGACGCTTCTTCGAGGCTGCGTGGATGCACAAGTATAACGGCAGATACTACTTCTCCTACTCGACTGGCGATACTCACTACATCTGTTATGCCACCGGCGAGAGCCCGTTCGGCCCTTTCACCTACGCGGGCAGGATTCTGGAGCCGGTGGTAGGCTGGACTACGCACCATTCTATCGTGGAGCACAAGGGGAAATGGTACCTGTTCCATCACGATTCATCCCTGTCGAAGGGGGAGAACCACTTGAGATCTGTGAAGGTCAAGGAGATTTTCTACAACAAAGATGGGGGGATGCAGCTCACACCGGCGTAGAATATGTACTTATTCACGATTGATCAACATTTGAGTGCATCCTCCTCAGTTTTGGCGAGTAGAATGAAAGGGAGCGCGTTTCTAATTTATCTGCGTAAGAAGAGAAGGGATAGCTATCTGAGATCAGACTGAGATCAGATAACATGCTTGCAGGTTTGCCGCCTTAAGCAGACGCTGGCCGACACAACATCTTTGTTCGCGCATGATAGCACTACCTATCATATTCCCATCATGGGCATCATTTCTAGCTTTGCAGTGCGGCCTATATGATTAAGCTGGCCGATTATAGACCCGAACTAACGATCATGATCATCCTCCATCCAATCCGTCCTGATACTTCTGGGTGGTGGGGGGGGGGGGGGGGGAGCCGCGTTGTATGGAGATGATAATATTATCAAGTTCTCCTTGGTAGGAGAAATCTATGTACTTCCTTAGCGAAATTTAAGAAGTTTCTTCAAAGCAAGCTTGTTCTTTCCAGCTTTAGTCTTTCAATTTAATATACATCCTTTAAAATATTACTTAATATACAGCTCGCGAGAGCCTTATATATATAAGTTTTTATTTTTTCGAAAAAAAGGAAGGGGTTCGTAAATTGCAGCGAAAGCAGTTCCGAAATCGCGAAAGTCGAATTGCAATTATGGCAGTTCAAAAAGAAGTCTAGCTTTCTTTGGAACTATAATTAATAAAAAGGTCTGATTGAGGCACTTCAACTTGAGAAAAGGAAGTAAAAGCTAGTGTAACCTAAAGGAGCTTCGAGTTGCAGCGGAAGCAAAATCGAAGTATATCAAGGAACGGGAGTCGATATAATGCTTCGCAGCGAAGATGGTCAATCTTTCTTTATATTACGGCTGGAAGAGGTAGTGTTGTAATACTATTAATTGGTATGCTATGTAATTTTAAAGAGTAGTAATAATAGTAGTATTGTTTTTGCGCCTGCTGCGGGTCCTAAAAAGGAGTCCGACTTACCACCTCTTTAAGGGTATAATGGCGTGCCGGCATTAGGTCTTACTTACAAGCATTCCGCAAAAACAAGTGGTATCTTAATTAATTAAATAGCTATTTGAATATAAAGTTTATTTATACCGATAAGGTACAAACTCGTAAGAAAAAGACCAAATTAATATAAAGTCTCGGGTCTTTGATCCCGCGGTATTGCAGCTTTAATATAACTTAATGCTTTTTATTAACGGCAAATCTAGTTAGGAAAGCATCAATTGCTGCGGTCGCTTTTTATTGCGATTAGTTATTAGCAGCTCGATATACCGTCTTTCCGATTATGTAATCGAGTATTCGATTAAGATATTTTTTTCTTTTTTCTTTTTTGATTTAACCTTTTGTATTCGTAATCGATTATAATTATAAGCGTTTTCAAGCTAGCTTTTGCTAAAGGTTTTTTTATCGTATAGCAATCTCGAGAGTTCTAAAAGCTAAGCCGCTATCGTATATATTTCGTTTCCTTAGCGTCTTTACATAATCGATTGTAAATACCGCTTATCGTATCGGCTTCGAAAAAAAAAAGGTCGAATTTAATCGTTAGATAAAGTTATCGAGCTAATCGATAAGGTCGAGTTAGAGTTATATACGAAAGAGTATATTGTAATACTTACTTTGTATTTTTAATCGTCGTTCGTTCCGTCGGCAGATACGAAAAATACGGCTAGCATTAAAGTATATCGCTTCGATTACCTTTCGAAAAAGATGCGTTTTCTGATCGGCTTTGCGAATATTATTAAGAATATCGCAAGTTCGTAATCAGCGCCACGTACAAGCTCAGAAATCCGTCTTCGCTGGCCTGTAATATAAAAGAAAGACGAGGACAGAAAGAATTCCAATACAGGAGGGCCGAAAGGTCTTGTACTCTGGGGCGGCCGCTAGTCTCAGCTGACTAATCACTTAACCAATCCCCCAACCACGCCAAGGCCTGAGGCTTGCCAGCACCCGACCGTAACGCCCGGAAGCGCGTGCCACGCTTAGCGAGGCAGGCTCATCGATGCCTGAGATACCCTAGTCGGCCACATCACTCACTACCTCGGATCGATATGGATGTACCGACACTAGTTGATACGAAATCACGGACGTTCGCTACCGGCGATCCAACAGCAAGTAGTAAAGTATTAATAGCAAAAGTTTGATTTTTAATATTTAAGTAAGTATTATAAAAGTGATATGCGGATGATTCTTTTATAGATTCTCAATAATCAAAATAATAAAGTAGGTATTTTACTTGATTCAAGCTAGCTAGAGTTGTTGTCGGTTCATCACTCACTGAACTACATTGAACTGCTAGTTAGGAGAGTGCGATGATAGTGAAGGATTATTTGCCCCCCGGGTATTTACCCCTAATATATTTACCTCAGTTAGCTCTCGGTAGATCCCTACATCACATCTGTTTCGGAGCACTCACTTCCGCATCACACGGTCCCCGCACTCATGAGATAGGATTGATCTATTCCCTTATGTAGAGGGGATTCCCCTTAGCTGAAGAACAATCAAGAATTATGGACCAAATTCAGTACTGAGCGAACTACCAATTTTACCTTTTGCGATACACAAATGAAGCTTCATTAATTTGACGTTTGTTAATACCGGCAAACCAACAGTTATAATCGAAGTGTTTTTTTTTCGCAAGAGTTTAAGAGCTTATAGTCTTTTTCTTTGAAACGATCTTATAAGTTAGTTTTAAGATTGATTTGGTAGGTTTTCGATATTAGCTTTATCTTAGTAATGAGATGGTTTCACAAGCTAGAACTTCAGAAATTAAGTAAAGAACGTTGCTTTAAAGAGATTTTTTGATAGCAACTTGATTGCGAGTTGAAAGAAATCCTTGGGACAGCTCTCGGCGTCGATCATCAGCTGAAAGGTTGGTTTTAAAGGTGAGAAGATCGATGTATTAGCTAAAAGGTAAAAGCTGTCGAAAAAGGGGGTGACTCTTTAATTACACGGTCTGTGCTTTAAGCTCCGTGCGTGACCCAAGCCCCACGATATCAAAGCAATCTGCCGAAGTTCGGTTCGCGGCAAGATCATCATTTCTCCTACTTCATTAACCTTAAAATAAAATAGGTTTCCATTTCAAAACGTGCGGCTAAACAAGTTTCGATTCCTCAATAGTATTCCTAATACCTTTTTTGATGGCGCGGCTATAGCTGGTTTTATCACTATCTTTTTTAGTATCCTGAATACCTGGCATACCTGGCCTGGACTAAACCACTCTTAAGGCGGGTGAGTAAGTGTTTTGGAATCAGTATTCAAAAAGAAAGAAATAAAAAGTAGGGAAAAGGAAAGAAAGAAGATTAAGAAAAAACATCGTAAAGAGAAGAAGTCTATCACGAAGAAAGAATTTCAGGGCGTAGGGGATATGAATAGATCCTTTAAAGGGGGTTTTACAACTTCAATCAGTAAGTACGAGTTGTATAGGATGGTTGTAGAGCAGAGCATGAAATAGATAAGATTAAGAAGAGAGCGAGATTGGGATTCTTGGGAAAGTTAATCAGCGGAAAATAAGGAGATAGGGGTCCAGCTGTCCGCACGTGGTCTTTGCTGGATCTTATCTCTTCAGTCCCATGTAAGCAAGGGGGTTCATATCAACTCTTCAGTCCTACTATATTTTCCCCTGTAAAAGTTTCGGCCCTCGTTACGAAGTACCAGTTGTAGTACGATAATTTGGCATGTGTAAGGTATACCTCGAAGCGAGGCGAAGTTCGCGTAAATTTTAATGTAATGTAGCGCGCAGACTTGGGGAGTAGTGAGGTACTTGGATATAGTAGTTGTAATAGTATATCCGAAGGCGCCTCCGTACATTAGAAATGGATCATCAATTTCACTCGCTCGAAAGCACGCCCAATTCTCTATCCGTAACAGTTCGACATTCCTCGACTAATAGTATTTTTTTACTTTGAAATGCATGCAGTACTTTTCTATTCCAACGCCAACATCGACGCTTTTTTTTTACCGCCGCTATGCCTCCCATCCGGGTTATCTCTTTCGTAAAGGCTACGGAGTTTGTAAGCTCCGAAGCTCTTACTTAGCAAAGCGATGCGAACCATTAAGTTAGGTTTTAATCTGATAAATAAATGGCCGTCGCTATTAATCATTATTGTGCGGAACAGGCATGGTTCCACCCAAGCTACATATGATATATCATATGACCTCGCCTAGTAGCGCCCTTGGCATACTAAAGCTCTTAAGTACATGTATATAGATCTTAACGAGCTTTTTAAATAAAATATACCAAGCTTTATTTAATCTATAGAATCTCTTCTTGATCTTAATATTAGTAAGCATTATAGTTAAGAGCTACATTCGTACTCACGAGCTATTTAGTTAGTCTTTAACAACTTCCGAATTAATCGAGAGCGGATTTTGCAAGTTACTTTAACGCTACTTTATTATAACTTTTATTTTGCAATCTATCTTTTTTTCAATTATATTCATTCTTTACAATTAACACTTATTACTTTTAAGAACTCTAACTAATTTTCAAAAGCTTTAATTATAAAATCAACTACTATAATAATAGACGACAAAGTAAAAGAGGTCTTCTTGATTAATAAAACGAACCTTATAAGTCGTAGCGATTTCTTAAGATAGATTACGAACTACAAATACTTTATTAAGCGCTTTAGCATAGAACAATACGCATCTCTTCGTATTAGCGTAAAAGAACTTACTCTTTTTATCGAGCAGATTAAATTAAAAACGAAGTCTATTATAAAGATAGTAACGGAGTTTAATAACGAATAGTTCTAAGAATAAGACCGCTAACGAAAAGCTTAAGAAGAATTGCACTTAAGAGCTTTTGCAAACGATCTTAATAAACCTTTAAAGCTAAAAGACGCTAAGTTCGAAGACGTCCGAAAAGCGTATAACGATAATATAAAAGAATACAACTTCGCTATAAACAATTAAAAAGTCTTAAGTAATAAAAGCAATTAAATTATAAATTAAATTAAAGAGACGGTTAAGAGCTTTATTCTCGAAAAAGCGATCTTAGCGGCTTTAAAAGAAGACAACACTTCTATTTAATTCTTAATAAAAAAGCTTTAAAAAATATACCGTTTATCCGACTCGAGCTTTAAGCTATCGATAATACGAAATTATAATAAATCCTTGCAAGCAGCTAAGCAAGAAAACGTCTTTCTAGCGGTATAAATCAAGGAACACCGAGCTATTTACAAGTTAACGAAAATGAATAACTTTTACGAGACGACGAGTATATTCGCGATAAAAGCATTTTTAAAAGCTATTAGCGAAAAATAGTTATTAATGTTGGATTGCTTCCAAGCGATTGGGAATATATATTCGTAAGGTCGTAACGGTCGTCAAAGTACTTGCAATTGCAAAACACTCGGTTGATAAAGTATCTGAATTCTGTCTGCTCTCCAAGGCTCAAAGGAGCTGATTCCTTCTATACGATTAGAAGGAATCACGTGCACTAGCTAGCTAATAAGTTTACTTGTCAAGTTGAGGGTCCCTTGACTGCTGACATGCTAAGCGAGGCATGCCAAATGGCCCGTGAACCATGGTTCACGGGTGAGCTTCCCCAACTACTACTACTACTACTACTACTACTAGCTAAGGTCGATATAGATATACCGACACCGGCAACTCTCTCTTTAGCAAATAGTGCTTTGCCAACTGCTATATCGACCGAAAAAAGAAGGAAGGTAATTAAACAAAGGAAAAACAATCTCCCTCTTCCTTTTACAGCGGCCTTTCCACCCATCCATCGACTTGCACCTTCAAAGTATTAGTCAAAACTAGCTCTTGCAAAAAGATATTGGCCCCGATTTTAGTCATAGCGTCAGCAGGGTTAGATTTGCCTCCGATCTAGCGTACCTTAAAGAGCTCTCGCCTTTCGTATGACTCTCGAATAGCTATAATATCGATTATTAAACGCTTCTCCTTAGTAGTCCCCAGTTTTACTATGCACTCGTAAAGCGAGTAAAAGTTAGTGCACACGACTACGAAGAAGTTAAGGATTCTTAGCTAAGCCGTGATTTAAGCAAAGGTAGTCGACATAGCAATAGCTATATCGATACTTAAGGACATCGCGTATAGCTCAAAAGCTAATACTGCTCTTGTCACCCTCTTGCACTTCTGTGACACTTAATGTAAGATGTTACCCGTCAGAGTGAACTCGTTTTCACTTACGTGAGCCTTATTGCCAAGGATAGCTACGAAACCGATCTAAGAGTTGAGGTCAGCGTTGTTAGCAAACGCTTCGTCCACGAACACAAAGAGCTTCGCAGTCTTTAAGTCTAAAAGCACGTAATAAATCCCTCGAGTTAGGTAATCGATCAGCTACTAGATCACTTTGTTAAAGGCTTTGTAGTCCTCGTCCTTCGGTTCTTAGTGCTAAGCGGCCATCGATAGAGCGCAAGATGCCTCTAGATAGCAAATAATAGCTAAATACGCCTCTCGGGCACGTTACTCCAAGTACTCTTTAGCCCGTGTGGCTGAATCGAGCTTGATCACTACAAGCCTCTTACCTTGCCCCTTTTGCTCAACTGACAGTCCGAACCCTTCTTTATCTAAAGATAGCTTGCATTTATTGAAAATCATTAGCTCGGCGTGTGTAAAAGTCTCCATTTCCTTGCTCTTCAGCTTGGATTTGACCAGCTCCTTCTCTTCCCTTGCCTTTATAGCTGGATTGACAACTATAAGAACATCATCCGTCTGTAAAGCAGCTATTCTTAACTGATCTTTGTTAGTTGATACAAAAAAGCAAAAATCAAAGCTCGATTGCTTTATTCCGAGGTTGTCCGTGAAATACCTTAAAAAACGCTTATACTAATGCGTTCTTGCCTCGAAGATCCTATACAAAAGGCCAGTTATAAGGAACAAAGTGCCGAAAGGGAATCGATAAGTGATCTTCTTAAGTGGTCGCACGACGATTATTCGAATGAGCTTCGTGCTTGACTAAGTGTAAGCTTAAGTGATATCTTTGCTATAAACCTGATACTCGTAGTCCTTTATTAAAAAAAGAGCTAGAGCATAACAGAGTCTTTGGCCCGCTCGCTGCACCGTAAGTGACTCGGTGAGTACCTTCGTTTTGCTTTTGTCTTAGAAAGCTTAGACCATTATACGAAACTTCTCGTATAGCGTAAGTGTTCCTTTGCCTTTGATCTCATCAACAAACCTAGATCCGAAGATCCTAGCGCTTTTAGCGCGTAAGTCGATGCCCGGGATCACTTAAAAGATGCTTTAGGCTATCAATCTAGCCAATTCTTTTGCTCTAGACTCTTAAAATAGTGCTCCGGGGCTTTTAATGATTCCTTCGGCTCGTAGCTTAACTGAAAGCTCATAGTCCCGGCGTTCTTTGTCGGTAATCAATACCTCGGAGTCCTTAGTAAATAAAACGTAAGAATCGCTCTTTTCTTCGTCGAGCACGGTCGAGATATTAAGATCGTACTTCTAGTAAGGTATCTAGACCATTAGTATTGTTAACTTTTAAGGATTAGCAAGTTGAGGGTTAAAAGGGCTGTTTGTTAGTCTTGGCGAGCTTCTTGGATTAAGCGACCTCGGTAGATTAAGCGAATGTTAAAGTTTAAGCGAATTTCGTATTTCTAGCTCTTTTTCGCTTTCGCTTTGATCATCTTCTACCTCTTCTTCTACTTTTTCTTCTACTTCTACCTTAGGTACTTGCAACTCCTTTAGCAGCTTTTCAACTTCAGAGTAATAAGGTTTTACTAAGGTTGACCTGAATTCCGTAGGCCTCGGACAAGCCACTGTGCACGTGTGCCCCTACTTGCCAAGCAGCTGAAAGGGGCCCTTCCACCCTTGGTTTTCCCGCCACACCAGCACCCGTGAGCTAATAAAGAGGTCTAAGGTATGCTTCGTAATTGAGCCATTCCTCCTCTTAAGCGCGTCCTTAACTTGCCTCGCAGCGTAGCATTTTCGTACTTCCTTTATAGCCTTGTTGATAGCAGTAGCACGCTCTTAAGTAGACGCGGCAAGTCGATCTTGCTCCGTCAGCTTCGATAAGGTCTTAAAAACGAAGAGTATAAGAACCAAGCTACTAGGTCCAGCTGTGTCGTTGATAGCTTTGATAGCCATTTGAAGCCGGTCCTCTTTTAAGGCTTTTGGAAGCTCTTTTATAACGATCTCAAAGACGCGTCGCACAAGGACGTGGTAGCGTTCTACTAGCCCGACGCTATGATAGGCTTTTATAAGCATCTGCTTTAAAGTGCTGCTAATACTTTTAAAGTAGCTTCGAAACGTTGCCGAATTAAAGTTAGTTCCGGGATCGTGCACTACGTTTGTAAAAGGTCCGACGTAAGTATTAACTTAACATCGACTGAATCCTTTAAGTAAGTGCTGTGCGGACATGCTTTTAAAGAAGGTGGCGGCTTGAAAATTAATAGAATCGCAAACGACGTGTAATACGTTTTTGCCGTCAAAATGCATTACGTCTACGTATACCGTATCATTAAAGTTAATATCGTCTTTAAGTCTAATACTAAACCTCCTCGGAGAGCGTCCGAATACTTAGCAATAGTAGCAAAACTTTTAAATGTTATAAAGCAAATCTCGCTTAAATTCGTGCCCGGCCCTTTTAAGAATAACAGCAAATCGACTTGCTAAAAGGTGGCCAAAACGCTTGTAGATGGTCCTCAATTGTTCTTTCGTAAAGTGGTAGTAAACGGTCTCGCTTTCGGTACTATAATAAGTAGCAGCGTGCTCTTTACTCAATAGCATCTATACGTACTTAAACATCTTTACTATTAGTATTTCCTTTTTCTTTTAAACTAGCACGTTTCGCAAGTTATCTAAGATCACTTTGTGCTTGTCTATATCAGCTAATAAAAGTAAAAAAAGTACGTCGCTTTCTACAACGTAAAACTCTACTTGACTTAAAAGAGTATCTAAGGTAATTGCTCTAATAGAAGTAGCAGAGCCGATGCCGTATTTAACGGACTTCTCTTTTGCCCGAGATATATCCAATTGGACCTCGGAGTACTTTTTTTAAAATGCTCGTAGTTAAAGCAAGCTAGCGGTAAAGAAATTAGCTGCTCCGCTGTCAATCATAAGGCTTATAAACACGTTTTTAAAATACTTAAAGGTTATGTAAGTCTCTGCTTTACCCGCGAGCACACGCGGATCTTGCTCGAGCATCTTTTAAGTCTCTACTTAGCTGATAAAAGCGTAGAATGCCGTCTGAATCTCTAGCTGTTTATATACTTCGTTAGCGTTAAAGGTGCCGTAAGTAATTACAAAACCTTCCGATATGTTAGCGTAGCTGCCCGATTCGGATAGCTCGTCTAGTAAGCTTGCGATAAACTAATCGAATTCTTTTATAGATACAAGTAGCAAGCCTTCGATCAACGCTACGTATTAAGAAAATTTGCTTTTCGTCACCTTTTTTACGTCCTTAAAAGCCTGGAACTTGGCGACGGATGCTTTCCTTTCGTCGGGGGTATGGTTGGTACTCTAACAACCTGGCTTTTTATAAACAAAACACCTTTTTTCACTTTTAATAGCCTTAGCAGCTTTCTTACTTCCGAAGTATTAGCGGTCTTGAATAAAGCATTCGTATTCTTCGTCCAAATCGAAGTCAGCTTCTAAAGTGTTGTGTTAAGAGCAGGTATGATCGTGTAGCTCGTTAAAGCTCGCGTAAGCTCTACTCGCTTTAGCAAGAGGTCGAGAGGTCTTAGTTGCAAACGCAATAGCCTTGCGAATATCAGCAATTGCGGCAATAAAAGTAAAAGCAAGGTTCATTCGTGCAATCGTAGTCTTTAGCACGTTTTTATAAGCTGAATACAGCTTGTTAGCAAGACTTCGATTATCTTTTAAACCTGGTCGTAAAGAGCTTTGAATCCTTTTAAGCTCTTTAACGAGCTTCTCAAAGCACTCGCTAAGCGAAGTCCTTAAATTCTCTTTCTTGATCAAATCTAGCGAAATTTCTTCTTAGCGGTCGTATTTTGCTTACCGCCGGTGGTCAATCTCGAAATAATCTCTTACTGCAATAGCGTTTGCCTTGAAAGTCGGAAGTCTGGCCTTGATAACGTGATTATAATAAAAAGTTATAGCCTCCTTTATAAGCATAATCGAGAACGCCGCTAAGTAGTCCCCGGAGGTCAAACCGTATCGACTTGCTTAGTTAATAAAAATTCTTAATTAAGTCTTGAAGTCATCGTCGGGTCTTAAATACTTCAGCTCTTTAAGAAAGCTTCGCGCGAACAAAGCCAATTCCTTCGCTCTTAAATAAAGGTCTGCTACCCTTAGCTCAAAGAAATCGTTTCTATCATCGTCAAAAGCGCTTAGAGTGCCGTACGCAAGCGTGCTTTGCTTAACCAATGGTCTGATCGATAAAAGGTTATCGATATAATTGCCGATGGTCCGTCTTTTTCTAAAGTCTTTAAAAGGCTCATTTCCGAATCCGAAGTCCCTTGAAGGTCCGTTTCCGAATCCCTTTGATAATTTAAAAGGGCCGTTCCTACCTCTTCCGTGCCCGTAGCCTCGATCTCCTTGCTAATCTCCTCCGTTTCCTCTTCGTCGGTCATCGTCAAGATCGCTAAAGCTATTCGGGTTACCGGCTAAAGCTCTAGCTTAATAATATCCGTACCCTTAAGCGCGCTTTTAGCGATCCTCATACCTTTAGTATCCCTCTTGTCGATACGTAGCTTATTGAAAGATCTAAAGAGCTTGTCGGTACGTCCGAAAGTGCTAGATCCCCCCCTCGAGTTGCTAAAGTTAAGCACGGAAATCTGCACGCTGTCTTTAGTGAAAGCTGATTTTATCCGGAATGCTTTCAAGTTTTAGCGGGTCTTTTTTTAGCGTATAACTGCTATTGCCTTGCGTATTATCAAGCCCGATTATGTTTTCGAGGCCGTTATTATTGCTACTCGGCCTTAGATTTTAAGAAACCCGGTTGTAGCTCTTAAGAAAAAGGTTTAAAAGCCGCTAAGATGATTTTAGCTCTTGTATAATTAACGTATTGCGTAACGGTTGCTAAATTAAGAGCGTCGAGTACGCTAAAGTGCTTCGTCGTAGCCTTTCGTTAGATTATATAGCGTAAGTCCGTAACTCCGCCATTTGCTTTGCTATCACCTTTATATTTTGCTTTATATTCTTCTTCTCTTTCGCAAATTCCTCGCGTAACCTTCGAATCTCTTCCCTTTCTTTCCTTAATACTTCCTTTTCCTTTCTTTTTAGACTTCGTAAAGGTAGTAGAAGTAGTTAAAGCGTATTATCTTCGTCGTCCGTAAGGTTTTCGACGGTCCACTTTAAATCGAGGCCTAAAGGTACTGCTTGCTGCTCTTTTATTTCCTAGAAGGTCTATTAGTATTGCTACTCGTCGTTTAAGAGCTTGACCATCCTATTAGCGTAGCCCTTTTGCTTTAAGGAGCACCATACGCTTTTAAATATCAAATGTTCCTTGAAGCTAATAAAAGTAGCAAACTTAAAGCCTCGTCCCGTATTGTCCCTCGTCATCGTAAAACTCGTCTAATCCTAGCGTAAGAAAGCGTGCCGGAATAAGCTTTATAAGTCGTAATCCTTTAGCCTTCTACACTTCGCATTTAAAAAGTCGTTCACCATCGCTCGAGCCGTGATCTCATTGTCTAGCCTTGCGTATAATAGCTCGTTTAAATCAAATGAAATGCTCGACATCTCGTCGTCTGGTCCTTCCGAGAGGCTTAAAAGTCCTAGGTATAATAGTCCTTTTAGCTGAATAGCTGGAGGTTCCGTGGGTAGTGATAAGACTCGAAGGGTATAATACCCTACTGCTCTTTGTCGGCTGGACTTTCTACTTAAAAGTCCAGTTGCTCGATCGGCCATAGTTGTTGTCTGCTCGTACGTAAATCGATCGTGTTAGTTAAGTTTACTATGTATAGCAAGCGCGGCTCTACAGCTTTAAAAGTTATATAAAAGTGACTTGGTTCGAAATCACTCTTCCGTAAGAATAAAAGAAAATCGGTAGTATAAGAAGCGACTTAGTACGGAATCGCTCTTCCGTTATAAAAGGAAAGAAGTATCGTAATAAAAGGTATCTTCGCTATAAAGTATTCCTAGCTTCTTTATGATTGATCACTTAGTAGTAAATCAACCATTAATTAGTGTTGGATTACTTCTAAGCGATTAAGAATATATATTCGTAAGGTCGTAACGGTCGTCAAAGTACTTGCAATTGCAAAACACTCAGTTGATAAAGTATCTGAATTCTGTCTGCTCTCTAAAGCTCAAAGGAGCTGATTCCTTTTATACGATTAGAAGGAATCACGTGCACTAGCTAGCTAATAGGTTTACTTGTCAAGTTGGGGGTCCCTTGACTGCTGATATGCTAAGCGAGGCATGCC